CTGCTGAACTCCAGAGCTGTTCCTTAACGCTACTTAGCATGTTTTAAGAATGAAAAGTGAGATTTAGTACAGCCAGAAAAAGCTGTGCAAGAGCTTAATTAATAAGGTAACATATGACTAACACCATGTGAAGGAGCACCTCAGTTGGTCTTTCCACAGAAGCATTTGCCATGACAGCTAAAGATAGTAGATGCCCATCACTACATATAACTCATTCCCTGACAACCAATTTTGCTCAAGCAGAAATTCTCTCTGAGACACAGAACACCACATGTTCATTGAAAGTCTCATGGGAGTATCCATTAAAGCTATTTCTAAGGCACCTAGCACAATGATACTTCAATGTTTCACGGATTTGGCAATTAGCTTATTCTCAGCTCATTTCTGTCTTAACTCAGTGTAACAGCTGAGGTTTCTTCCTCCTCCTCCTATTTGCCTATCTCTTTACATCCTATTCCATGGAAAGACATTGCAGAAGAGAGATTTCAGTTAAATGATAAATCTAAAAATAACTATACAATCACACTCTTTGTCTCCCCATGTGAACAATGCATCCATCAAGCAAAATGCTTCTGCTTTTAACCTCCATACCTGTAGGAGGGTCGTCTGGAAAGAATTTCTCTTCGTTTCTGTGAGTCTGTGACACTGTCTACCGATTCCTGTGAATCTTCACTTTCTGCTATAGTGGAGATCTGTAAATAAGAACAGCAATCAAACTCAACAAGACACTTCCAAGGTCTTTATTTTAAGGATATGTTGACATCCTGTGAAAAACACTACAGCGCAAGTATCCTACAGTGCTTCTACCTAGGCAATGAACAGAAAGGGCAGGCTGTTTAGTAACAGACACAGTGAGGAATGACCACAGTCAGTTATCTACCTGTGAGAATGTCCTTCATAATTTAGATACTCCAATAAGAAACTATAAACAGTAATTCCACACACTTTTTGCTTTCCATGTTTCCTTGTTTCCATGCATTTTAAGGAAACAAAGAAAGATTTTTTTAGTAAAATTTAGGGAGAGAATAACAAACCCCAAATTAAGATAGCAGAAATGTTTGGAAACAAAGAGCAAAATACTGAAGTTCAGAAACATCATATAAATAATTGGGTAGATATGTTACAGAGGGACTGCCCTTTGGTGGGGGAATAAAATTGTCAGGAAAATGTCATACATGAAGACGTTAAAAAATAATGCGGTACTGCAATTCTGAACATCTGTGCTAAAAAAAAGACAAAGATTTCAAAGCGTGCCAAAAATATAAAAACATCTTCAATACATAAAAACAGAGACTCTTCTTCCAAAAGACTATAGTCACGTGACAAATATACAAAAGCTAATGATAGTGAAGAGAGAAATGCCTGTGTGAGAAACATAGCTCACAGACTGGCATTTTATGCATTGTAGGAAATATTCCTAAAGGCTCAAAAAGCTTGCTGGCGCCCAAATCTCACAGTTATCAGACAGAGGGCCTGAATAGGTGCAAAGCTGACTGTGAAGTACTGGGCTTTGAATATAGCAGCATTCCAAACATGTTCTGGCTTTGCACTGAGACAGGTAAATTCCAAGCATGGTTTCACTGTCAGTCTCTTATCTTGCACCCCTGGGCTAGTAACTTGTGCACTTATCTGAAAACTGCTCACCTCCGATAGACTAAAACTCTAAACTTTTGACTCCAGAGGCTGCAGAGGGTAGAGCCTGCCAGAAATTCTGCACTAAAGCTGACAAGGAGTAAACAAAGATTACTATCAGAATGGCCTAGCTTTAAATTATGCATGCCGTATTATTTTTTAAAATAACACCCAGCTAAATATCTGTATCAAACAGTAACAATGTCTATGTTTTAAAATGAGCTGTGTACTAATAGCAAAGGAATGATGTACAGTCCTTGCCCCGCATAGCTGCTGTACACCAAGCAATTTCTCTTTCTGTGTTCAGCAACACTGGGTTTGAAATGCTTTTTTAAAAAAAAAGTCACAAGTTTTAAAGACTGCAGACTACTTGTTTCCTACGTCTTCAAGCTATCTCATATTGCGTTATCTGTCTTGCTTTACAGAAGAGAAAATGCTAAGGCTTTACAAAGCAAACAACATTCAACAGGCAAACCATTTTTATGAGAGGACTGATAGGTTTATTTTAAGGACCATTAACCTACAGACATCTGTTTTGTAAACCAATGCAAATATTTTCTAAGTGGCAAAGGGTCTCATCCCAGAATATCAGCCTCATTAATGATTAAAGATTACATTATTAAAAAATCCCTTTTTTTCACTTAAGAAGTATGAACTCTTAAAGATGTTATGAAAATACAGTACAGAAAAAAAGTAGAGAAATACTGTAAGAAAAACCACGAAGCTGTTAAACTCACCAACCAAATTCTAGAGGGAAATGAAACTCAGCAATGTTTGAAAGTGAAAAGTGGTTAAACCAGAACAGAAAAAAAAAGTCCCAGAGTAACAAACACTACAGATTTTGCCTTCAACATGCTCTTCAAGTTTATATGAGCAAAACACAATCCAGGACACAAACACATTAGAAATGAGTGAACTGGCAGGACTACGCAAAAGGCCCAATTCACATATTAGGAATTTCCTCAGTCAGTACCTGAACTGTCTGGACCTGTGGAGACTGAATAACTGACGGCTGGGCAGCCTGAATTACTCCATGCACTTGAACTGTCTGCCCATTGGGCAGCTGAACTAAGGTCACTGTGGGCGCTGAAGACGTTGCGTGAGCTGCTGGCATAGATACCTGCAAAGAAGAGACAGTGAGCATAAATTAGGTTATTACGAAATCTTCTTGTTTTACTACCAAGAACACTTTTTGGTAAAGAATTACGTCTCTTCTAGACCCCGGTTAGATGACCCAAATGTTTCAGCATAATACAAAACCCCCTGAATTGCCTAAGCCCAACATCTGACCTACTTTACAAATTAATCTAGTGCAGAATTTCTGCAGGCTTAAAACATCGCTTGTAAAAACACTGACAAGAATGAGAAGAACACAACTGCCTCTATTTTGAGGTAACCTAATAAAAGCATATTATTATCTTTCGCTTACTTCAGTTAGATATTGCTAGGACTTGGGTGTACTCCTACAGACACTGCTGAGTCAAAGGCAGAAACATATGGGAGTGAAGCTATTTTTGTTCTCACTCACGAAAATGCAAAGTGTTTGCCAGATGTATGAAGTTAAAATTTTAGGGAGTCATACCTTTCAGACTTTCTAGAGACTAAACCATATTCAGTAGCTGGCAAGGTCCATTTAAATAGAGAAAAGTGACCGTGTGTTGAGACAGAAAACCCATGGGTTTGCAGCGGAAACAAATGGTTTGTAGGCAGTTACTGTGATTCAGTGTAACGGGTCAACACAAGCACTAGTCTTAAGAGTTATTTCTATGAGGAAAAATTGCCCCCATTTTACACCCTCAGTTCCTAAACACAACTTTGCTTCTCCAGCACAGACCTGTAGGCATAGTGGCTATGCCAACAGGGATACACTCATGACTTCAGCACGGCACGTTAGCACTGCGGGCACAGCCGCGCATGTCCTGCGCAGGGGCTCAGGCTCCGAGGACAGCGATACCCACACAAAGCTGTTCACGTCACGTGGGGAAGTCTCACTCTGGCAGGTCACAAGAACTATGATGGGCGGCTGAAGGGCCATGCACCAAGGTTGCTACGTGGCTGGGCAGATGCCCTGGTGCATATCCAGTACTCAGCAACTGTCCGGTGACACAACACACATGTTCGCGCCTGGGGGGCTCCTGAAAGGCAGGAGGGTGCCAGGGCTGCCATACTAGCGCACACGGCCCTTGGTTTGTGCTCAACTTGCACCATCGTAGCCCTTGGGGAAGGACTGCAGGGAAGCATGAGCTCTCACAGACCACAGCCAGGTTGTGGGTCACTAACTAGCCAGCCTTCTTCTAGACACGTAAGTTTGGAAAATTTAACAATCCTCCAGTGTTCAATGGCATTTTCAAGAAATTTAATCCATGTAGCTACAATGCGAGAAGGGGCTGCACTCTTGTCCTGCCTAATCTCCAAGAGCTGCTATGTACCGGATGCAGAAGTAAATCCTCTGCTGTCCCCACGAACACGTGGTTCTCAAAAAGCTGCAGTAGCTGATCTCTGAATTTCCATAAACATCCACCTTTACAAGGAAATCTTGCTTAACAACAAAACTAAGAGGAATTACATGTAGACCTCTCTCCTCCACAGCTGTCTCTCCCTAATCCACAAATTTCTGTTTGCCTTTACCTTCCTTTTTCAGGAAAACGGCTGCAGTATTACGTGGCGGTACTTAACTTGCATCTGAGAGAAACCGGGGCTGAGATTAACATGAGCGCACTTTCCTCTGGCAAATTATATTCCTTTACCAAGCGAACTTTTTTAATAATGCATGTCTGACTAAACAGTCCTTGGCAATGACAGCAAAGCTGATCAACTGGAGGCCACTTTGTGGCTGGATTAAGCCAACAGCAGAGTGTAACTTCCGCAGCTGTCTCTGACTCATACCTTGTGGAACTGGAACGAGTTTCCTTTTGACTCTGAAAACTACCCTGAACTCACTAAAAATGCAGCAAATAAACTAAGCTTACAAGAGGGGTGACTTCACAAGAGATAATGAAAGAATTAAATTGACATAATTAGTTACTTAGATTTGCCCAAGCCTCTGAGGGCACTCCCTAATGCCAAACACTGCCACTTCATATATCAGAAATATCGTAATAACGTAACACTGATGTGAATAAGACAAGGAATTATGTTTAGACTGTTATATCACCTCCACAGGGAATATAAAGCCTGGGGAAAAGCTAAGGTGCAAATAATACAGTGAATGACAACAGAGGAAATTAGGAAAAACATAACATATTTCTTTGTTGTTCACATTGATTTTAACCATAGCTATATAGCTTTTTCTTACTCAGAAAAAATTCTCATTCAAGTACCGGAGTAATTTTTCCCGAGTGAAGTGCGTTCAACCCACTACATATACGTAAGTTCAGCTACCTGGAGGTTAGTATGTTAGCACACAAATTTGAAACATTCTTGCTTCTCTGGACTGAAGTGAGAAGCAGTTTACTGGTTTTGCAAGAGAAATAAACTCCTTCTACTCAGTTCACACTGAAGTGTTATTCACACCACCTACATCCTGTGCCTAAGTTAGACAGTGAGAAAACTGCCCAAAGAGGCAAGCTGGTGCAGGGCAGCTGGTGTCCTGTAAATTCACACTACAGCTTCGCTCAACAAAATCACCCTGTGCATTTTAACAGCTCCAATCCCTCTACTATCACATGAATGGAGGTGTACTATCTATGGTTTACCAAAAGGTGTAATGACTTTAAAAAGACATTGATCATTTATAAAATGATAAGTGATTTAACACTTGTGCCACTTAAAAGACACTCAATTTCCTGAACTATGAGATCTAAAAAATGCTGTTTCTTCATTGCAGACTGCCAACAGTTCTAAAATGAAATGGTTACAGAACGGAGATGAACAGATTCTGTACTCATTTACACAATGGAATTGCTTCTGCCAACCATCCGTGTATCCAAGAATGAAATCGGGTTCCAAAATTAGAGATGTAGCTGGGATCGCATTTCTTGTCTCTCCAAAATCATTTGGGGATAATAAATGATCTACTACTGTCTCTCTAAATAGCCAAGAATTCTGTGAAATTCTGAAGACAACAGGATAACACGAGCTGTCAAATGCCAGGTTGTTCCACTTGATTATAATGTTTATAATATTAATCACATCTGATAAGATGTATTTGCTGCATTATTTATCCATATTTTCAGTTTGTTTTTTTCAGAATTAAACTGACTGCTATAGACAAGTTTCTAACAGAAATCATAACAGTAAAACAATCCAGTCAATATAAAAAAGACAGTAAATTATATGTTTGGAAAAAAACACCTTCTAGTGGTATGGTTGTGGTAAAGAATGCTAGAAATATTTTAATTCATTATTCTGTTAACATTACACAGTTTACACACATACAGTTCTTCAGAACTAACACAGCCTAGTGTGACGGGAAGTTAAAAATCTCTACTGCTTTAAAAAATTGAAGACAAATATTAAAGGAACTATACATCGCCCCTGTTTCAGAATGGAACCTTCTCTCAGGTCCATGAGCAGACATTATCCCTCTTAAAAAAATCACCCAATAGGTAAAACTATTACACCATATGATTTTATACCTGGGCTAACGTTGCAATCTGTGGTTGTGCCTGTACTGTCATCTGTTGGGTTTCTGCCTCTGTAACGGCTGCATCTCCACTCTGCTGGTTCTCTGCTCCAGATTCCATGGTCATTTAGTTACCTACAATCACAATATTTGTCGTAAGTCTGGGTTGGTATGCAAGTCCATTATTCTTGGTGGATCTGGTAGCAATCACTGCAGCTGAATTCCCATTACTACATACTGTTTTCATTTTCTTATTAAAATGTTGCCAAATTATTAGCTTTCAGGCAAATTTTTTTCATGCCAAGTGTCTGCCTCAGGTTGATTTTTCTGTGTGCACTGTTTCTGAAAAACAGGTCTAGTCTCCTCCAATAATGAGATCAGAAAAAACCACGTTTTGCTCATCTTAAAAAAATTGCTTGAGCAATTGCTCTGTGATGATCTAGTACCTCTGCAATTTGGAATAACGACCGGCAGTTTTGTCAGGAAGGACACTCCCTCACAGTGCCAAGGTGACAATATGCCCTGCTACAGCCCTCCCTCTCCCCCGCAACTGCAGTTTGGAGATAACGAATAGCAATTGCTTCTGTGTTGGGCACTTAGTTTTCAGCTTTCTTCTGCCTGAACTTAACATCTCCATGCAAATTCCTTCCACAACCAGACTGTGTACGGCCCTACCTCACAACAACTCAAGTCTTCTCTACTTGGTAGTTTCAAGGTCACTATACATAATGAGGGAAGACATATCTACATGAACCTTACTGCAAATGAGTATTTTTATATTTAGAGGTACACAGTAGTTTGTCATGACCTAAGTTTTGTATCATATATAGCTCCTAATACACTTGTATTTCTAAGCAATAACGGAGCAAGCCTAGATCACCAGGACACACAACTCTATAAAAAGAGGTTGTGTAACTTCCCAAACCATGCATGTAGGCAGAGTGCAACTAATGTTAAATTCCGCACTGATCTCTGAAAATTACTTTTCAGTTCTTCTTTAAACACTGATATGAAAATATTTAATATATAAAAAAGAACTTCAAAATACAAGGAAATGCTTCCAGTGGTGATAGAGCAATACCACTGTATTATACAGCGCTCCACATACCAAACAGTAAGAATGGATATTACCTCTGTAGCCACAATACTAATCCTGTGTACTGCCATGTGCTGCGCAATCTACTCGGGCCTCTGGCTACCCTAAGGCACCACACCTCTCTTCAGAGCTGGAGCAAAACAACTAGTAGGGCATTTCTGCTTTGGGAAAGGGCCTGGAGGCAGAGAATGCTCAGATCAGAAGAAAGGTGGAAAGAAGGAGAAATGTCCCTCTCCTTGCTCAACTTTGCTGGCACCCTCGAGGAAAAGACTTAGAAGTGTCAATAGAGGTGGTGGTACCATGACCACATTCAAGACATTTAATTTTAAACACAAAGTCAAGGAATCTTCCACTTCAATGCAAACTATACTTCAGAATTACAGGAAAGAGAATACTGTTTGGAGATGTGTCACCTAAAGCAGTAGGGTCACACTTCAACCCTGAGTAATAGGAAATTTCTGTCTTCCAGTAAATGATTGCTAATCAACAAAGATAAAAGAGCATTTCAAAGTAGTAGCTGCATCTCACATCAAAAGAAAGCAAGTCAATGTATATAAATCAAAATCTGTGTATTTAGTATTGAAAGTGACTGTTCAAATGAGCTTTTGTGTGTGTATGTGTGAATGCTGAAATGTTTAAGTACCAAATACTTAGTTCCAACATCAGTTTAGAAACTCTTAGGAAATGAAAAAGGAAAAGAATTAAACCTGATTTTCCTTAAAAACAAACAATGAAAGAAAACTTACAAATTTTTGGAAAAAGCAAATTAAATTCTGCTAAGCACCTGAAATTTTGTTCTGCCTCTACCTGTTGCCATGATTTTTGTCCCACATAAACCTGGTCTTAGTCCAACAAATGCTCACAGATACAGTACTATTCCTACATGTATATACTGGTAAACTGGCCATGAAAGAATTAATTGTAAACTCAGGACATTTTAAGTAGTCTGGATGTTACATTTTTTATAAGAATTTCAAGAACAGCCTGTGTCCATGCAAATACGATAACCCATTCTTTGCTACAGTACCAGGTCTTCTCCATGTTGCATTTCATCTTCCAGAAAGCACAAAAGAAAACCCATGCACTATTACTATCTGTAATTTACATTACCAAATAGTTCTTAAAGACTTCATTAATGACAACAGTTTAAGTGGTCTTCTATCTCAACTTTAACAGACAAGTTCTATTTTAACAGTCCTTCATGTTATATGCCAAATTTTTTTTAAAGTATTCTGCATATTCAAAAGTGCAAACTATAAACCAGACTACCATAGGTTTCCCTCGATTTTTGTAATTTTTAAGGAAGGTATCTAGTTTTATAACTTTTTTGCAAGTGTCAGCTGGTTTGCCCAAGGTAAATAAATCAACAACTTTCTCCCAATTCCTATGCATGTACCATGGTGACTCCAACCAAAAGACTACCTCATCAAAACCATTTCAGGAGCAGACCGTTTGCATCAGCAACATCTCCCAGCCAACCGTCTGAAAAGAAACCATTTCCCAGGTACAAATTCAAGTATGTTGCAAAACTAATAATGCTTTTGTTTGCTGATAGAAACCGTGACTCTAGTGCAAAGTCAACTGCTACACAAAAGGGACTAGAAATAGATGAAATGTGCAAGTGAAGGGTCTCTTGAATCAGGTATTTAGCTATGTTCACAAAGGTAGATTTTGCCATATTCCTGCTGATAAATGCAATGTTTTCCTAGGAAGAATTTCCAATCCTCTCACACGCTATTCAGCAAAAAACCCTCTGGTTTTACAAGCTTGGTTTCTACACTTGCATCATCTTTTGCATATGTAATCAGCAAAAGTATTAACTGTTTGAGGTACTCCCTCCTCTACAACACCAACATTTTGGAAATAAAATTCTTAATGCAACTTGCAAACACCTAAAACGAATCTCCTCATAACATACAGTAAGCACCAAGCAATGCAGGAAGCTGCTTGCAAGATTTACATCTTGACACATGCAGTTTAAGCAAGTTTCCAATGTGAAAAAGTATCTGTGGCAGGGAAGGAATATGAGAGCTGAGGCAGCCCATTTTCTTCTCAGTCCTCTGCTTCCAGGCTACTTTCCATCTTGTCAGGAGAGGACACACACCTCCACTTTGAGAAAAAATCAGTAATTGCTGTAGTTCATCTCGAGCCAAGTATTCTAAATGAAACTAACTGAAAAAACAGCTAGCTATTAACATCCTGAGTTAGAAAGCCAGAGTCTGCTTGCCTAGAACACCCTGGTTATGAACTCTGAACACAGGTTAAGAAAGTTGATGAGATTACTTGTTTAGAGATGGTTTAACTGGTGACTTCTATGTAATACAAAATTTTCTTTGTTAGTTCAAAAGAGCTAATATTATACTTCCTAATACTTTCTTAATAATATACTTACTAAACAATCTGAAACACCAGAGGTGAAGAGCCGAACAGCAAAACGTTCAGATGATGCCCCGTAAATTGTTCTAGCCAAATCAGGACTGGGAGAAAGAAGTTCAGCAGAAGATAACTAACTGTACTAGCTGAATTTACACCAGGACAGGAGAAGACAGATGCTAAGAAACACCAACCATTGCAGAATGCAGGGGAAACTGAACTACACACACTATAGAAAAATCCAAAGAAACCTGTCTCCCTAGTTGCATAAACTGCAGATAGCTCACTTACGATTTCTGCTTAACATGCATCTATGACATGAAAAGCTAAAGTGTTAGACTGGAACAGAAATAAGATACAGGGTAATGTTTAAAAATTGTATTTTTATAGATGGACCCTATATATCAGCTGGATTACAGCGCAGAGACTGGGAGCCCATCTTAAAAATGGGTTCTGTGGAATTTGGGTGTTCAGAGAAAGCAAACATTTGGGGCAACGAAAACCTGTTGTATGAAGAGACTGGAGAAAATTGTATTATTTGCCCCAGAAAGAAGAGAAATGCTTTGAACACTAAAAAATGTATTTAAATTACTAACAGGGGAAGTAAACTAGAAACATTCACTGTCTGATTATAAGAACAGCGAAGCTGAAACGTGGCAAATTTAAAAGTATAAAAATTAAAATTTAAAAATAGCTATTAAAAATACGAAAACTGATACTTCATGTACGGCACAGATAAGAGCACTGATGCTGCTGATGATAAGCACTATCAGGATTCAAACAGGGGTTAGACATGCACACAGATAACAAGAATACCCAGAATTAGTGTGGTTATTTCATACTAAAAGCAGTGCAGAACTGAAAGGCAGATAAAACCTTATAAATCAGGATTTAAATCAATCTCTAGTCCTTAAAATTCAAATAAAGATTTTCATGAGGAGGGAAGATTATGTCACATGTAATTCTTGCAGGTTCCAGTAGTCTGTTGAAGTACCTACTGATCTTCAGTATCTTAAAGACAGGATGCTAAACTAGGTGCACTACAGGTAATGGTAACTCCTCTAATCTCTGTTATTTAAAGTGAGCATCAATGCTGTGTATTTAGAGTATGAACAGTTACCTCCCTTCCCATTTGCTTACTGAGCCAGTCTTCCCACAGCTTTCATATCATCTTCTTCACTTTTTTAGTACCCACCTATTGATATATCTGTGGTCTCCCCACTATATCTTGCTTTCTTAATTCTTTTTCTATCCCCTATCCCAAATATTCCCATGAACTCCAGCACCTCTCACGAATGTTAGGCTCTGCTCCTTGGTTTCTCCTTGCTCACATGAGCCACACAGCTTTCCTGCTCTACAGACAAGGCTGCATTTCGTCTCCCAGGACGGACTGGAAAAAAAAGGTGGCGGTCCTTTCCCAAACACCACTAAACCAAAGAGCCAAAATACCTCACGGTGGCTGTTACGGCAGGTAATATTTCCCACCCACTTCCATACATGAAGGTCCTGAGTCCTGAATGCCCCGAAGCTTTTTGTAATTTTCACTTGTACCAGTTGGCACCGTAAAACATACCCCACAAGCCTTTTTTTTTTCTATCTTTAGTAACATCATGGTGACAATTCACCATTATCAGTTAATGCTTACGTTGACAGTTATT